GCTTTCGACAGTCAACAGAATCATCGCGCAGTTCAGGAAACATGGCAAAGAAACAACTGTGCAGCATCCAGGTCATCCTAGTCCATTAGAGAGGACAAAAAGGCCTGTCAAGAAGAGCATCAAAATGGATCCCAGAAGCTTTAAATACTAGTGTATGACACCTAAATTTAAATAATATTGTAACCAAATCTCAAGGTTAGTTTAGAAATAACAGTACATTATAATATGGATTAATTACATGATAAAATATTTTTCCTATCAACCTACAATATTTTGAAAATTGAGGTAACAGGAACCATACATATTTATGTGGCATAAGCTACGTTTCTGTAAATTCCCATTTCAAATATCAGAAATAATAAGCATATGAAGTTGTGTATGAAAAATTAAATAACAGATCTCTTAAATAAAATCTTTGCAATGTAAAAACATGCAAATTAGTAATAAAATAACTGTCATGAACAGTTGTGAACTTTAAAAAATTTACCCAAAATATTTCTCCATCCTTTATGTTGTCATTTATGATGGCCAATCTTGTACAAGTTCATTAAGGCGTTTCACGTAAGATTGTATCTCGAATGAAACCTGCACATTGTACAGTAGGTTCAGATATGCAAAGTACATATTTTCATAACACTAACAGGGATTTCCTTGTGGGAAATTTCATGCTCTGAACTGAAATATCAGAACATTTAGTTAAAGCAACAAAAATTATGATGTTGAAGATAGTACGAGATCTATTGCTATACAAAATATTTGATGTTTGTTGTTGTAATCTTACATTCAGCATGCTTTATAGGTCTTAGCACTGACTTGGAGAAAAATATTTGACTATAACTATCTTATTTATTAACCCTCTCGCAATGGGTAGGTCAAAGTGTGTATATCATGACTTTTCACAATTGCATTCAAAATTTAAATAAACTATTTTATTATCAATGTATACAAATAAATTTGGCTTCAAAATAGATTGTTAATCAAATTTTAATATCATAAAAGTTTTAATTTCTTAATAGGATAAGGAAATGTTTAGCTAAATCCTCAATCTCTACCAGTATGAGAATAGTGGCATTTGTTCTCTAGGTCTTCCCTCTTCTACAAATTATTTAGCACCCCTCTCTTGAAGTATGGAATTTAATGTAAATGACTCATTACAATATATATATATATATATATA